ACCTCTTGTTTTAGAATGCCTGAAGAAGCCACCATTTGAACCGATGAAGGACGCATCTTTGAAGTTTATTACATGGAAGGTGTGTTTTTTGATAGCTATTTCCTGTTTTCGTCGTTGTAGTGATCTTCAAGCCTTGTATTTGGGAGAAGGTAACATAAACATTCAGAAGAAAGGAATAACTTTTATACGTTCAGGTTTAGCAAAACAAGATAGACCAAGTCATCATTCAAGAAAGATTTTCATTCCATCTTTTTCGAGGGAAAAATTTTTAGACCCTAAGAGGGCTTTGACTTATTACTTGAAAAAGACTGAAAGTTTTAGAGTTAAAGACTCTAAAAATGAACTTAAACTTTTCTTAAGTGTTATTAAACCTCATCATCCAGTGACAAGTCAGACTATTTCTAAATGGTTAGTTAATATTATTAAGTATGCTTACAAAATGAGTAAGAAATCTACTGGAAAAATTAAAGGTCACCAGACTAGAAGTATTGGGCCTTCCTGGGCATTGTTCAAAGGTGCGTCGTTGGATCAGGTACTGGATGCGGCAGATTGGTCTTCAGAGACCACCTTCATTAAACATTATCTCAAAAACGTAGATACAAGTGTTTTGGATTTCAAGTAAATGTTGTTACAGAAGTTATTGTTTTTCACCAAGGTGGTGTGTACAAACTCTGTTTTTCCGGCGAATTGCGACTGGATGTTTTTGTAAATTTGAGTATTTACGGTTATTCTTGTACAGTTGGGATGAACTTATATATATTGTTGTGCAACTGTCAATAGTGGGTTAGCAGTTATACATGTTCAACTGGTATTGTTTTACTTAACATGGTGTGTGGAAATATTGGGAAACACTTTAGGTAAGTGTTTAATGTGTCTATTTTTCATTGATATTAAAACAAGTTTATGTTTTATTAATGAATGTAATAGATATTTTTGAAACTTAACTACCCACCTCCTTTCAGTACTGCTTTTTAATCTGGGTTAATCCATATGGTACTGTCGGGTAAGTTTATTTACGAAATGAAAATTGAAAATTTGTTTTCAAATTTAAGTTTTATGAGTAAATAATACTTACCCGACAGTACACTACCCACCCTAACCTACCCCTCTCTGTTAAAGTTTCAGGGCGATTTGGTCGCCTCATTTGAAACTGACATCTTTAACACGTGGCGGAAGTAAGGGGAGTTAATTGAAGAGCTTACTTCCGGTGTTAATAGTTTAGCGAATTGTGAGAAATTAACGGAAGGAATCCATATGGTACTGTCGGGTAAGTATTATTTACTCATAAAACTTAAATTTGAAAACAAATTTTCAATTTTCCCGGCACAAAAATTCGAAGCTTATTATGCTCAAACTCGAATTTTTACAGTGTATACATCAAAAGAAAATATCGCGGATTATAATGGCGCTAAGTAGCGTATGTTTGCTTGACATAGTATGCGTAGACAAAAAATGTCGCGGTTTCCTTAATTAAACTCGACGTTTTACGTGAGAAGTGTGACAGAAAAACTGCGTCATTTTATACAATGTCGACATAAAATGTCGAGGATTCAAAATTTGCCCGCGACATTTTATAAACTGGTAAAATTTCTCGCGGCTTTAAAACGGACACTACCGGCCACCATAGGGGCGACATCGAGGGATATTTCTGCTAACGACTTTTTTTTCAGAAACATCCCGAGATGTCGCCCAGCCAGTGTTATATAGAGGATATTTGTTTAGTTCAGTGTAAGATCGGAATATATTTCACCGAGTGAGCACCAAAAGGTATATTTCACGAGTATACAGTATATTTTGTGCAGTTGAGTAAAGAAAGTTACATTCAAACAAAGTGACTATGCTATAAATGTTTGAATGAGGAAAGGCGTGTTACAAAAGAAAAACAAGGCAGCATAAAATGTGACTAAATAGGAAAATAATTTAGCCCCACCCCCCTTCAAAGAAGTGGGGCTCGTATATTGCTTTGCATTTGTCTGTCGGTCGGTATATCAATGGTTTCCTACCAATAACTTAAGAACGCTTAGGCCTAGGAACTTCAAACTTGGTGTGGCAATTGTTCATGACAAGCAAATGGCCCATATTGATTTTTAGGTCAAGGGATCAAAGGTCAAGGCCAAATTGACGTTGAATAAAAAAGGTTTCCCATAAAAACTTGCAACCAATGGCTGTTGGCCCCCAAATTTGAGGTGCTTGGTCTTTTACCATAGAACCCCCATTTATTTTTAGATCAAAGTCAAAAGGGCAGGTCATATTTTACCTTGTAGGGAAACATTTTCCGACAGTAACTTTACAACCCTGGCCCCGACCCCCAAAAGGGATAGATGAATTTGGGCTTTGGCAGTAATACCCCATTGAAATTTTGGGGGAAAAGGTCAAAGATTAAGGTTCATTACATTTAAAGGGAAAAAAGGGTTTTTTATCAATAAATGATGACCCCCTGGGGGCCCTTAGTCTTAAAAACCCATGGTCAATTGTTTTGCATGTAAAGACCCCCTTCGATTTTTAGGTCGGGTCAAAGATCAAGGTCTTTTTGCCTTTTAGGGAAGGGGCGGTTTCCGTCAATAAAGTGACAACCCATGGGACATTGGCCCTCAACTGCCATAGGTGCATTTGGCCTTCGCCAGTAGATGACCCCTATTGATTTTTTGGGGTCAGAGGGTCAAAAGTTAGGGTCACATTGACTGTGTATGCAAAGAGTTTCCGTATCAACATTGACAATTGGCTTCAAATTTTCACAAATTCATTGCTTTTTGTCAGAAGAACCAAAATGGATTTTGGGTCAAGGTCAGAGGCCAAGATCACATTGCCTTATAGGTAAAAAAGATTCTGGCAAGATCTCTGCAACTCAAGGGCCCCTTTTACTTTCAAACTTCACAGTGGCATTGGGTCTTGGCCAGTAGATAACCACTATTGATTAAGGGTCAAAGGCTCAAAGAAATCATTAACTTTGTATATAAAACACATTGCCTTGGTTGATATTTTTTATTACACTAAAAGCTTTTGATTACACATTTCAAGGTCTCGTATAATATAACAAATTGGCTGTTACTAAGGAGGTCTCCATGCTTCATAAAATTTATGCATATATTATTTGGTAAGATTCGTGCAAACTTTGTCATAAAGTTTCTGCACACAACCTTTACGGTCACAATGACCTAGTGTTTAGTTATAACCAGCAGATAACCCCGATTGATTTTTTAGTCACTTAGTCAAAAGTCAGTCACAATAGCCTGGCCACATGACTAATTAGCTGTCGATAGGGGGTATACATGTTTTACAAACATATCATGCTTGAGACTTTGTCTGATCAAAGTGACATTTCTGTCTATCATTGAATAAAACCGTGATTCTAGGAATGTACGAGTTTTGATTCCCATTAATTTGCACTCATACTATAAGGTGCAATACCGTTGTCTGTATATTTTGAGACTATTAATCTTTTTCAGGTCATGTTCAACATTGACGCTTCCAGACGCTTACAAAGACTTAGCTGACACTGAAGCTGAGAAGAAAATGATGGAAAATTTAGCTTTGATTAAAGAAAACCTAATAGATACAATCAACCTTCACAAAGACGTAAAGAAAGTGTTACAGAATGATAAAGATAAGATTATGAATAGTTTACGGGAATTACGATCATCCATGGAAAAAATGCTTGAAGATTTGGAACGCTCAGCCATATCAAAATTATTGAAGGCATGTGAAAACATAGAATCAGAGTTCAGACAGAACGCAGAAGCAGCTGAAAAGCATTTGTCTGACATCTTGAAATATGAGAAAGAAATAAACCAGCAAATGCTTAATGACGCAAACAAATTCGTGCTCTTTAAAAGAGTAGATCATCAAAAAGAATTATCCAGAACCGCGAGCGAGAAATGCTTGAAACCACCTGTCAGAAGCATTCATTTCGAACCGAACCAAAAACTGAAGACACTTTTGCAAGAAGCTGAACAATTGGGAACATTCTCTTTCCTTTCAAACGAGAAGTCGGGTGATAAAAAACAACCTGACTCTCTAATGTGCTCAGGTCAAATATCGCAAGATGTCAAGACTGAAGAGGATGAAAACCTTAGTGTAATAAACAGAATATGTGTAACTCCGGACGGAAATGTTTGTCTTGTTGACTATGCAAATAAGAAATTGAAACTTCTTGAGAATCCATCATATAAGGTTATCGATTCTATGAACCTCGAGCGAGATGTACTAGAGATAGGTCTGTGTCCTGTTGACAATGGCGAGGTATTGATTTGTGTTGGTCAAGATATTATATTCGTTTCAGTCGTTGGTAAATTGAAGTGTGTAAGGTCATTGAATTTAACGCATGAATGTCTAAACGTAGGATACAGTGATCGAAAGATTTTTGTATCTGACGGTGCCGGCTGTATTCGATTGTACTCGATGTCGGGGACACCAATTAGTGAAATACATACAGACGTGTATGAGAATAGTTTGGTTTGCAGTGAAGACGGCAACTTTGTGTATTTAGGAGCCGAAGAAGAACTGGTTGCATATGATATGCATGGGGAAATTTATTGGAAGTACAGTTCTGAAGAGATAGGAATGTCCGGTATAAGGGATGTAAACATAGATGGCTTTGGAAATGTATTAGTATGCGGTGATAGCCAAGGGGAGGGTAATGACATTGTGGTTTTTGTTGATGCAGGTGGAAAAGTTATAAGAACATACGATGGAGGTTTCGAACATTATTATAAACCATCGTGCTTGTGCTTTGATAGGCAACATTTCAAAATTATCGTAGCAAATGGCTCTGGAGGAAACATCGTGATAAATGATATTGGATATAACCTTTAAAACTAAATTTGAAACCTCTTTGACCTAGTAATTACAGGTACTGATTTTGATTTATATTGTGCTGTGGCTGTCGTTTTCAAATAAGATAAGGAACATTTGGTGTTATTGGATGATAGTGCAGTCAAACTAAAGTACAGTAAGAGAAGCTATGAATATTACTGCCTATTTCATAAAAATATTTCAGAGAGGTGCACCAGAGATGTTATTTAAACATTGTCATGGGATCTTGATGGTGTAATGAAACTCCTAGCCAACATTAAAATAAATTGATTACTTCAATATTATATATTTTCCTGAATAAAACGCTAATGCAATGCTTTTGCCAATCATTTTTGTCCTATCAACATGCATTACAATGTAATTTTAATAATTAATTAAAATGTTTGGCAAAAGCGTTGCATAAGCGTAATACAATGAAATCTTGCCTTAGGAAATCCGTTTAAAAATATTTTATACTTTAGGAAGGATGAATGTTCTTCCCTGGTACACTGGATGCATTCCAGAAATAAAATTATAAGTGCATATTGGTTAATTATCATACAACAGTCGTCGTACTACAAGCAAGGCATTCCACTCACAGAAAATTACGTTAAGCTAAAATATAATTTGAAACGAATTATTTTCCGAGCAATTCCGAGCATTTTTTTTTTGTGAAAAGTAAAAATAAACGGAAGTATGATTAGAGCAGGAATTATTAGGAAACTCGGTGACACCGTTGTGACATCATTTGTACCATTTTTTATTTAAATAAAAACTTTGTTAAATAAACCACAAAAGCAAACAAACAAAAATAAAACCTTCAAAAAAAAACAACATAGTCTTAAGTAATAAAAAGAGGTAATAGGTAAATATCGTACTGACAAAAAAACTTTACAAGAGTATTAAAACAATATGACAGCTCGACAGCGGCATCTCCTACAGTAAAACGTATACAGCTTGGAGATAATAAAATTATAACATTACCATTACTGACAACAGCAAAGAACTATAAAAACTATTTTAAATCTTTGACACTAACATAGAGTCAAATTAATGCATGTGAGACGCAGCAGACATAACTTTATTCTTGCAAAATATAAAAAAAAAACTAATTAATTTCTAAATTTGTCTGTTGCAACCAACTCAAAACTAAACAAGAAATGTCGAATGACACATATGCCCCCTCCTAGCACTTGATTCATGTTATTGGAAATTTTGGTATTATAATAGAAACTAGCCAAAATGGGAATGTGGAAGTGTTCAGTTATGGAAAAATAAAAATAATGACCTATATAAGACCTGAAACTGAATGAAAGGTATCATGAGTATAATGAGCGGAAACCATTCAGACATTACTGCCCACGTGACCTTAACCTTTGACCTAGTGACACCAAATTTAAAGGGGTCATCTACTAGTTATGACCAATCAGTTTTTGAAATATGAAGACTTTGTGATGGTTTATATATTTATCAGCGGAAACCATGTGGTCTACCAACATATAACATCAATATGTGAAATATGGAGACTTAATTTGTGATAAATGGTCTTCAAGATAATGAGCGGAAACCATTCTGAAAGTTAAGGTCCATGTGATCATGACCTTTGAACTAATGACCCCAAATTCAGTAGTGGTCATCAATAACATATGACTAATCAATATGTGAAATATGAAGAACATGTGATATATAGTTTTCAAGATAATGAGCAGAAACCATTCCAACATTAAGGCCCCTGTGACCTTGACCTTTGAACTAGTGTCCTCAAAACTAATGGGGTCATCTACTACATATGACTTATCAATATGTGGAATATGAAGACTTTGTGATAAATGGTTTTCAAGATAATGGGCGGAAGCCATTCTGTTATTTAAAGTCCCTGTGACATTGACCTTTTGACCCTATAATCAATTGGAGTCATCTGCTAGTTCTGACATTGTAGTATATAGTTTTCAAGAAATTGAGCGGAAACCATCCCGACAGACAGACCGACCGACATTAGCAAACTAATATACTTTCTCTTTTTCGAAGGGGGGGGGGGGGCATAATTACATTTAAATAATTGTAACGGTGACGTTATGAGTCCAAGAAAGTGGAAGATTATGAGAAGACAAGTCCAGAACCAAATGTGCATGTACTCCATGAAGATCCACGAAAAGCTAGCTTCGCCACTTTAAACGAAATTGACATTATGCACACTCATGCGGGGGGTCTATGGGCCGCTATAGGCCCCCTTGTATGTCTAGGTGGAGCCCTGGTTTTGTCCCCGGAAGCTCCTTGATTTTTACCATTTAGAGCTGCTTAAATTAAGCATTTTTATGTCAATATGAGGTAAAAAAATAAGAAATTTAAATCAGTAGGAATGTTATTTTATCTTTAACAACTTTTTTATGCAATGCTATGACTTGTGTTAGTATATGCCATGATTTAGAAAACATCTTAAATATAATTACAAGATCGTATAACAATATTTCAATGCATTTTTAAACGTTATTTAAGGATATACATACTTTTTAAAATTAAAAATCAATCGTAAAACAAAGTACATGTACTTAAATGCAAATAACTAGCTCTAATCTAGTTTATCAATCACAAAAGGTTACAGTGGTTTAGTATATTTGACCATACGTGCTCGGAAATTCGTAAATGACTGAACAGAGTATCACTTGGCGTTAAGAAGTTGAATCTTCGATAGCGTCTAGTGACTGCTTCATGAAAACATCTCCTTAAGGAGGGACACCACTTTTATCACTCGCCATTTTGAAAATACCCTGATATTTTTGTTTTTTACGCAGATGATTATCACTAATAAAGGTTTGTCCAAAAGGGAAGCTGTATCTACAGAAACTTGATCCTTCAGTGTTAGGGCCATTAGATAAGAACACAAAGGGCTAATTTGTGATGATAAGATTTTCAACTTATAGGACATGTAAATACATAGTGATTTACTAGCTGATAAGCCCTTACTGAAATTCAAAAGGTATCTGGGATAAATGTGTAGGACTGATAATATTTACTGCGCTTTAGTTTTCTCGCCGTTTTTAGTATATTTGACTTAAATGTTACGCACGTGTGTAAGTGCGTTACGCTAGCTACGCCCCTGATTTACTTTATGTAAAAAAACTGGGTTGGCTTTTTTGTGATATTAGCTTTAATATTTCAAATACCGGTGTAACATTCAATTTTGACCCCGTTGAGAATTGACCACATGGGTCATTTTTCAATGTTGAGAACTGAACCTTGGTCATTTTTCAACGCTGAGAATTGACCCTGTCAACAATTGATCAGAAAGTCGTTAAAAATTATCAATCATTAAACTTTTATCAAATTAGGGTCATTTTTTATCTAAACGTCTATATGAAGTGAAGAAAGAAAATCTCTCAAATGCGTCATAAAAATGTTTTCACAAGGATAACATGGCCGAACCTGGGCCCGAGAGATCTACTTCGACAGATAATCTGTATGTTTGAGAGGGAACGAAGTTTATGATTTCCAACAGATGGGCCTATGTGGTTGAAGTCCGACATGCCCATCGCGACTTCCACTGATGAAGCGTCTTTTCATATAAGGTTTTTTGTTTCATAATAATGGTCATTTTACTAACTAATATATTTAACTGTTGAAAATCTATCTATAGCTAGCCATGGTTGTAAGAAATATTTTCTTAACATTGTGTTTAGAATGATTATGCTCTATATGGTGTCTTGGACTTAAAATAACGAATATTTTAAGTCCGAGATTTGGAATGTATAAATACAGTGATCTACTGTATACCCATACATACATGTGAACTTTCTCAGGTGCCAAGTAGGGAGATTTGACCCTAAAATTAAGTAGGTAGATTGAGTCTGTTGGGAGGGAGATTTGCGGAAACAGGACTTTTTGCGTACAGGAAGGTCTTAACACACAATAATTAAAAGCATTAACTACGAGTTCTTTAAAAACATTTTTTTTGCATGGTATTTAATTTACAACCCACTTTTTATCATTAAAACTTTCTTTATAAAACATACATGTTTTTTTCCCCACTGCACTTGTCATTTGATGTCTATGTTATTTACTCTACACACTTTCCACCATTAGAACTTTCTTTATATGACATACATGCTTTTGTCACAGCTTTTGTCATTTCTTTGTTGATGTCCATGTTGTAGCACTCTGAGTCACAATTTGAGCCGCGTCATGACAAAACCAACATAATGGGTTTGCGACCAGCATGAATCCAGACCAGCCTGCGCATCCGCACAGTCTGATCAGGATCCATGCTGTTCGCTTACAAACTCTATTACAAATAGAGAAACTAATAGCGAACAGCATGGATCCTGATCAGACTGCGCGGACGCGCAGGCTGGTCTGGATCCATGCTGGTCGCAAACGCATTATGTTGGTTTTGTCGTGACGCGGCTCATTTAATTTCATACACAACAGGGAGTTTAATGTTTTGTTGGAGTGATTGTCTCTGTCATCCGTTTGGATTTTTCTTACCATAGAGAAACACCTTTCAGGGTCACCATTGCTGTTGGGAAGTGAAAGGGCCCTCCAATGCAACAACTGGCAGATTCTTGAATCTTTTCTGTCCATCTAACAATGACATCCCCTCCATTTCTAGCCAGTAAGTATCAAGCCTTGTTTCGTCTGGACTGAAGTTAGGCAGCTCCTCATTTGGTGTAAGCTGATAGTCCAGGTATTCATCAAGGAGCTGATCTTCTTCATGGTTACACTGAAATCTCTTGGCAAGCCTCAACACTGAAAAAAGTAAAAATATATCAATACTAGTACAAACAAATTTATTAAGGTACAATAAGAATATGTTGTATCATGGTGCCTTTAGATTATAGCCATTTTGGTATATAAAACTCTGATTTCATTACTGATAATTAAATTATTACTGAAGTTAACACAATTTTTATGTATGCCAAAGCTACAAATGATTCAAAAATTAAAAAAGTCAAACTACCTGCTTCACCGGAAATATTCTGTCTTAAACAAGGATTGACAAATCCGAGATATTGCAGAGTGGTATCTTCTAAAGGGAATTTCTTTATCATTTTTTCTGTAACCTCTGTGTAGAAATCACGGACTGATCTGCAAACCATTTAAAATATTTTTTTTAATTATAAACAATCACAAGAAAATCTTGCCTTGCATTAAAAATCAGCATCAACATAAATTATTTTGATATACATTCAGATACTTTTTGTTTCATATTAACAAGCCAATGATCTTGATAGTTTGAATTCTTACATTCTTAAGATATTTAACGGAAGCATGTGTCTGGTTTCTTCTTTTTATTGCCTCTATTCTAACATTAAACTGTTTCTTAAAAATGTATATACATGTACATGTAGCATAAGATCAAATTTAAGATAAAATGTGTAATACCTGAAAAATTTGTTCAACACTACTGGACAAATGTCAGGGTTGTCATGTAAGTACGACCTGGTTCCCATACCAACAGTTAGGTCATTATCTTGGTGTTGATTGGATGGATTTCTGAAGTCTATCTCTGTAGACCGCCTCCGTGGTCGAGGGGTTTGAGTCGATGA